ACTGTGACAGGGAGGAGTTAAAGATGTCTGTAAACACTGTGGTCAGCTGGGCTGCACATGTCCATAGGACGAGAGGCGGTATCCCATCAGGCCCTGCAGCCAGCAAGGTGGATTTTCACCCTGCTCAGAGTCTTCTGCATGTCCTGCTCTGAGAGTTTCAGAACAAACTCGCCCTGCACACTTGGGGTCTTCTCAGCATTGCCCGTGTTCAGAGCATCAAAGCGGGCATAGAAGTGGTTCAGCTCGTCAGGCAGGGATGCGTTGTTCGTGTCAATCTCCTGGCTGCAGCCCTTGTAGCCTATGATTGACTGTAATCCCTGCCACAGCCTCTGGGTGTCAGCGCACTGCGTTTCAAGCCGCACTCTGTAGCTCCTTTTGGCGCATTTTATGGCTTCCTCTAATGTATACCGTGATTTATTGTACAGCTCTTTGTCCCCCGATTTGAACGCGGTGGATCTATCTTTTATTTTGTCTGGTCGTACAGATTTTATCATTATGGAAAGCAACATACAGTTTGATTTAGTTTAATGCAAGTATTCATTTCCTTTCTGGATTTTTTTTTCTCAAGAAATTCATTCAACTTGCGAAAGATAAAATACAAATCTTGCTGATCAATGCAGAAGAAATATTGTCGGTTGGCAAGAAAATACCAGCTATTTTATCTTTCTTTAAACAAAAACCTGCAGATTGAGAAGCCCGACGCGTGGAAGTCTCTGTCTCACAATCAGTTAGCATGTTTAGCAAAATATTTAATGCTCTTGAGAGTTGCAGGAAATATGTGAACAACCACAACAAGTAAATAAATAAGTTCAGTCGTCACCAGGATTGCCAAGTAATGATCAACATTGGCATCTTCTAAAAAAAAATCATACTTACCCATGCCATTTGATCTTCGAATGGGTCATGAGAGAATTCATTTCTACGCACATTGCATCCTCAGCTGAAACATTTTAAAATTACGACGCAGATTTGTTTGGGAATTTGACATGCAAAAACGACAGACTGCTGATATTGTTAAGTTGGGATTAAAGAGTTCCATTTCAATATTTTTAATAGTTCCATTATAAATTTACCTGAGTTTGAATATGAATTCATGAATGTTGTTAAGTATATGGTAATATTGTTATATTTTTTGTATGCATCACTGATTAAATTGAAAGTAACCCAAGAGCAAATTTCTTTCCTTGTTTGAATAGATGAATCAAAAACTCTCCATTCAACATATTTACAACAGGCACTCTGACGCAGATAAACCCAGAGAAAGTCTTCCCGCATTTTAATCTGTAACTGCAAGAGTAAACAAATTAATTATCTCAACCATAAGTTTCAAACTTTACTTACAATTTCTCTGCTTTGGACAACATTTGATTCCGACACCCCGCAACACTGTACCGGACTATGTAGTTACTGAAACTCAGCTATTAAACCTTTACAAGGTAATGATAACACCCACCAGCCAGCACTCGACTGGCTCAGTCATTGGAGCAAGAGGCTCTGCATCTCAGGGATATGGATTTGAGCCCAAGTTGAGCAGTGGGCATCTTATTTACAGTACATTTACATACAACACATTAATGATTCCTGGCACTACATCACAAGACACAGACTGTGCAAGACTCTGTAAACAATAAATACACAACAGGTGCGTGGACACTGAAAAACACAGTGAAAATCTTCCCTTGTAAAAACATGTTACTGTGTGAGAGAACTGAGCTTTTATTTTTCTGCTTTCAGTAATCAACAAAGAAAACCACACAATTGAAAGACAGCTAGCATACCTTTTTCAAATTGACATCAGCAGGGACTAATAAACTCTTCAGTGAGTGCCAGACTAGCTCACTCAGTAGAGTATGAGTCTCTTAATCTCACAGTTGTGGGTTCAAGCTCTATGTTGGCTGATACAGATTTTTCTTATTAACGAAGTTTCCTGTTCATTCTTGACCATCTTTCACCTTGATGGTACCCAGCACTAAATTACAATGCACATATTTTGATCATATTGATAAAAAAGAACTCTAGCTCAAAGATTCCATTGATAACCTATTTGCGCCAGGCACTTGGACGGAATTAAGAGCTACAGCTATCAAAAATAGTATTTAAAATAATAATAGCCCGTCTATTTACAGTATAATTTACACTAGCGTTTCCTTAAAAAATGCTTGTAAGAATGCTAAGAAATTTCAAAGGTTTTCTAATAAAATAAATATTATGAATCTTTTCACCATAAGGGTTTCACTGTGACTTTTCAGGTAAAATAATGTTTTGAATGCGATCAATAACCACACCAAAATAATATCAGAAAGAAATGGTGAAAATCAAGAAAATAGTCTCTTCAACATGTGGAAATATATTCCTGAGAGGGGTCCTTTTCTCAAAGGTCAGCACTCTCTAAGAGTCACTTCTCCCAACTCAGGACCACAGCTTTCCATAGTGTGCCTGGAAAGAGCAATTCATTTGAGACAGGCACACGTCCCGGTTTTATTTAACAAAGCCATATACACATTTTCTAATGCAGCCAATATTACAATAGACAGTTTATTTCTCGAAAGCTTATGTAAAAAATAAAAAAAATAAAACATGGATGACAATCTTTCAAAGCTGAAGATTTTACTTTTGAGAAATGGACATTTTATGTATCTAGATGCTTTATAAGCTCTGGTTTTAGAACTTCCAGCATCATTTTCAGCCTTACAAACTGGTTATCGAGTTGCTGATCACTTTGTAAAGTGGGTCCTCCAACTGATAGGCTGGAGCTGTTTAGGCTGCTCTTGCTATTTCCTTTAATAAGACGCTCTAAACATGTTTTTTTGTTTTCAAGTCTTGCATTAGGTTTGTTTTTTTCTAGCTTTTAAATCAGATACATGAAAATACTAAATAAGTGCTTAGACCCTATTAAGTCACCGCTTTACAAACTAGAATATTGAGGAAACACCCATACAAGCTGTGCGATGGGGAAGAAATCAAAATTCTTGTCTGTTCTGTGAAGGAGATTCTTAAATGCTTCCATCATATTGCTTTCACGCTAGGACATGAGTGCGCATATGTGTTTGGTTTTCGTTTTACTGATTCTCATTGAAGATTTGGAGATTTAAAATTAAAGAATGAGTAGGCTAGGAAAGTTAAACTGCAGGACTTGAGGTTTTTTTTCCATCGCATTTGTAAGGGCATAAAGCAAATCAAAGGCAATTCCTGCCTCTAACATGACTATAAATTATATTCAAAATACAACAGCTTCCAAACGCTTATCCACATTTCCCCGTGGTTGATTTTTTTTCTAACAAAGTTCCATTTTTATTTTCAAACAGGGAGACTTTATCATTCCAACTTTAAACCACCCTTAAATCCTCTGAAGCCTCCATCTGTTAGCATGTATTTTGTAAAAGTTTTTTTTAAATGGAAAGCGATTTTGAAACGTATTTCCGCCACCACCTCACATTCCATGTTAGATTTTAGCAAGATAGCAGCACTTGCTGTACACATGATCAAGTGTTTAATGTGATGAACTAGAAATCCATTGGGGTCTCCCTGTGCAGGTCTGAATCCTGCTAACTACAGCAACCTTCTCATGGTGTTGTGTGCCTGCACAAAAAAAGCGCCCTTTCTCTTTTTCTTGTACTTTGAAAACGCTAAATTACTTTGACTCGCTGCATAAGAAAACAGAGCCTATGAACAAAATTTCACAGCTGGAAGTAGATAACAACGCTTTTTGCATGTACTTCCAGCCTTTGAAATTTATTTAATTAATAAATATGAAAGCACAGACTCCATAGGTGTTCACACTGCACTGCACTCAGTGAGGATGGCACGGATGAAAACTTATTTTCTTCTATTAAAATAAAAGCCAAAACCGAAACAGTAGTAGTTGTAAGAGGAAATGCCTCCTAGCAGCAAGCAAGTGCTCCTTGTTAGTACAGTGGCAAGTATCCACACCTGACATGGGAGACCAGGGTTTTGATGCTCTGATAAGGGAAAGGGTAGCTTTTCTCCAATCACATTCCCATCTCTCATGTAAGAGCTTATGTAGTTTTTCTTTCCCGTCATTTTCTGATGACTGTTCCAAAGGGGAACCCTGTCAACTGTTAAATACTTTCAAAAATCTGCCTGTGTGTTTGATTACTGTTTTTTTTTTCCCAAAAATTTAAATATTGATCTCCAGCAAACAAAAAGGGGTTAAACATGCAAGGCATTTTTGAAGCACAGCTGAGCTACACGGGTATCTTTTCTGTGGTGGTCAGGATATATTGGTATTAGAAACCAGGAGGAATCGCTTCACTCCTATAAAGCATGAGCTGAAATAGAAAAGGAATGGGACATTTTATGTGTTCTTGTCAACGCATTACCTGTATCATAATGCCTTTCTCATTTGCATGCTACTAGAAAGACCATAGAGCAAGCTATTTTTCATGAGTGGAATTCGAACCCACGCCTCCAGTGTGACATCAGTATTGAAATACTGAAAAAGGTGGAAAATGTGTCAGCATTTATAATCCGTCTTCTTTAAGGTGTGAATGTTCTATTGCAAACTGCAAATCATATTCATACAAGGTAATCAGAAAATAATATATACTTACATTTAGTTATGTAGCTGTTAAATAATATGTACTGCTTCTCCTGTCTGTGGAAGTGTGGAATATGGAATTATTAGAAATGATGTATTGATTCATACAATATCTCTGATTCTTTATTATTTACCCTTTATTGCATATTTGTTGTATTTGATATTTATCCTCTTAAGGGATAAACACGCTTTAGATTGTACAACAAAGACTTTGAGCTTTTAGTAGAATTGAATTAGATGTTTGATTTTTTTTTCTTATAGTGACAACTAAGGATCCTAACCGGTTTTATACACATTTCCTGCTTTACATGGTAAGTTAAAACCGTTACATAATTAAAAGCCTTTCCAATGAGAAGTCTTAATTGTAAATTAAACAGGGATAAACATAACATTTCAGGACTATAAAGAAATAAACTAAAGAAATAATTCAATCTAGACTGAATAAAACTAAAACCTTTATTCATTTGATTATACACCTAAATTTAACTGCATGACTAATTCAGTTTTAGTCAACCATAAGAAAGAGTAATTATAGTCAAAATTTAGTGGACTAGACTAAATCAAAAGTGGGTGACTACAAAGTGACTATGACTAATAAACATTTAAGGAACAAATAAAGGTTTATCCTGTGCTGAAAAGAGAAGAAAGGAAACACAATGTTTTGGCTGTGAAGCATTTTGCAGGTGTTACATGCTGACTCAGCTACCTACTTGAACCAATAGACATTTTAGTTGACTTGACTAAGACTATGATTAAATAAAAAACTGGTGACTAAATTGGTGTTTTTAAGTCACCTGACTGCACAAAACACTTCCCTCACTGACTGCAGGTGAATGGTGTCTCCCTTGTGCTAATGCGCTGGTGAGCTCTTAAGGTACTTAGCCATCTAAAGCTCTTCCCACACTGACTACAGCTGAATGGTCTCTCTCCTGTGTGAATACGATGGTGGGCTATCAAGGTACTTAAGCGTCTAAAATTCTTCCCACACTGACTGCAGCTGAATGGTTTCTCTCCCGTGTGAATGCTCTGGTGGGCTCTTAAGGTACTTAAACCTCTAAAACTCTTCCCACACTGACTGCAGCTGAATGGTCTCTCTTCTGTGTGAGTGCGCTGGTGATTTCTTAAGGTACTTAAGTCAATAAAACTCCTCCCACACTTATTGCAGCAGAACGGTCTCTCTCCTGTGTGAGTGCGCTGGTGAGTTCTTAAGGTACTTGAGTCACTAAAACTCTTCCCACACTGACTACAGCTAAATGGTCTCTCTCCTGTGTGAATGCGCTGGTGTCTTTTTAAGTACTGCGAGTAACTAAAACTCTTCCCACACTGACTGCAGCTGAAGGGTCTCTCTCCTGTGTGAATGTGCTGGTGTCTTTTTAAATGGTGTAAGAGACTAAAACTCTTCCCACACTGACTGCAGCTAAATGGCCTCTCTCCTGTGTGAAGTGGCTTGTTGGTTTTTGGAATCTGAGACTGACAGAAACACTGTTCCTGTCTGTGCTGTAATGGCAGTTTGTTCATTTGCAAATTCTCCATGGAATGGGCTTGCTCAGATCCTAAGGGATCATATGACTGTGTTAAACACTTCTGCAATGACAGTCCTTCTACTTTAACAGAACAAGGCCTAATTGTTATAAAGTCCTGTTGCAGTTCCTGTTGTTCTTCTTTGTACTGCCTCTTGCCTGTGTGCTGTAACTCAGCACTGTTCTCTTCACCAGGTACATCAGTCTGCTGCTCTGCAGAGTTAATCAACTGAGGCTCCATCTTCTGCTCTGTAAGATTGAAATCACCTGGTTCTTCTTTGAAATCTTGTACAGAGACACAGTCTATTTCATTACAACCCTGTGCAATACTGTTTGTGCCCGGATTAATAATCTTCTTTGTAAAATCATCAGTTACTAGGAACCCAGGTGTCAGGCTGTCAGCCTCTGTCTTCAACATGGGCACAGAATCCAGATCCTCAACACTCTGTCTGCTCTCTCTGTGCTGCTCACTGAGTGTCTCTTTCCCTTCTGCAGCAGTGAGCTCTGTCTCCTGCATCAAACTGGAGCCCCACTCCTCCTCCCTGTGCTGCTGTTCAAGAGGAGCCCTTTCCCCAGCACCAGGGAGAGCAATGGCCTCCGACCCTGAAAATACAGGAAAAAAGGACAAGACCTCTAACATGGGCTGAGTAGAATTTAAAAAGCAAATAACACCATGGAGATACAAGAAAACAAACTTAAAAATATAGGGATTTTTAGCATCTAGACAGACCACCACAGAAAACTAAAACACTGCAATGTTCACTTTATCCTTTCATAGCACACATTTAGTCAACAGTGTTAATTTGGTCGACAAAACTTGACATAATGTTTTGTCAGCAACCCATTTTGCATTTTAGTTAAAGAAAATATAACATAAAAATAATCCACAATGATAATGACAAAGACTTGATTGACCTGCATTTCTGTTTCAGGGCACTAAGATGAGACAAAATGACCTACTGGAGTAAAACTCATATAAGAAATTAATTTCACAACACCATCTGTGTATCTACTTTGTCTGACAAATAGCAGGCTGGCCTTAACGGGTAGAATCCTAAGTCTGACGCTGTATGTGGACTGCGCGGTCGCAGTTATGTAATTATCAGGATGAGCCATTTTCCATCTTTTTCTATTTTCCAGCAGTCTCCCATTTGTGGATGGTCTTTTCAACACCTCATGTCATGAATTCTTACTGTCTGTTACAATGAGATGTATACACTAGGCTAATCAGATTAAAGAAAAATAAAAGCTGTAGAGAAGAAAGACATGCTTGTAGTGCTCCATGCTTTCAGCTGGAAGAAAAAGATCTGGATTCAGAAAGTATTTCATTAATAATCAAACCAGGAAAAACAGTACAACATTACTGAAGATAAACAGAACTCAGCCACATTATGAGTTGAAATCTACAATAAATCTGAAGCACCTTCTGAGCTGCAGTACCCAGATGCTTGCATTAAGATATCTCTTTTTTACATTGTAGCTAGAAATCAAATTAACTGGTAAACTGAGCAGGATTAAACTGTTCTACAGCTTGGAAATATAGAAATTACAATTTCTTGTCTTGTATAGAGATTATCGTGTAAGAAATAAGATACACTTTTAAAATCTGAGAGTATGTCGAACACGCTATATGTACTGCATTTCAGCTTCATAATGGTGCTCTGTCAGAAATGTTATTTTGGTTCAGATTTTATTTTCAAAATGTTAGTGACTCTGTAAAATGCCTTTTTGTGTACTGTACATTTCACAGCATGTAACAGCAAGTAGAAAAATTCAAAAGAATCAGTTTGTGTAGGTGGCTGGGTATTTAGCTAACAAAGAAAAAATTTTGTAGCACCAACATCATATAGCAGAGTAAAAATATCCTTGCAAAAATTCAAGGTCAAAATTCTTCAATGCGTAGGGTACCTTTAAGGCGGAGATGACTACACCAAACATTTTGGGCACTTCCTCTCTCTAAAGCCCTGGTCAAATACGAAGACAGTATGAACAGTTCAAATTCAAACTGAATTTAAAACTACACATTCCTGTTAATGTGGCAGTGCATGTGATCCTTGCTTTTAAACAACTAAACAGGGCAAAAAATCAGTTACATGACTTTGGAGCTTTTGAGTTTTGAAAGCTATATGCAAGTGAACGTAGCCTATACAAAACAAAATATTGCTCTTTTTGCAGTATTCCTCTATTTAAGAATATGGCTGAGCATTTCATAAAAGAAAATGTATTCAAGATAATAATAAGGTCAAACTTTTTAGGTCATTTTTGGAAATGTAACTATATTGCACAAAATGAATTGAAATAAATAAAAAACACAAATAAGCATAGGTCTACATCACAAACTGTTAGCCTACTGGTGCTTTGCCAAGCCAGAAACCTGAGCTCTTTTCTCTGATGCAAGAAAGTCTAATCTTGGCATAGAATCCTGAAAGGCAACGAACGGCAAGTGAATACGCAATTAATTCGATTGCTTTCTCTGAAAGCTGTTCTTGTAGATCGTTAGCAATCTCGTCCACTGGAGTAGCCATTGTATTTCTAGTGAGTGATGTTTGCAAGAGCAGACCCTGTCTCTGGACACACTACTTCATTGACTTTTAATAGGCACCACTTTAGAAAATCGCCTTGACAGTATGGTCTCTCTGATTTAGCCATTTCTTCAGCCACGATAAAACTTGCCTTCACCACAGTTATGTGTTACTAGCAAGATGATAGTGTTTTTTCTACTACTAGATTCACAGTGATATCTGTGTAAACGTAGCCAAGGGCTATGCTAAGGGCTCATGGGAACTGGAGTTCCTGCCGCCGCGGAACTCGTACAATAGACCGGGAAAAGTCTTGCAAGGGCCGGATTAAAGTGGCTTGCGGGCTGAATGTGGCCCGTGGGCCACGAGTTTGACGCATGCGGTTTCAACAGTGGAATTTCAGCTGCAAAAGATTGCACCAGAGACAGCACTAGGTCTGCTTGTCATACACATTCAGGAAAGGATGAATAGAGCAATAATTAGGTGATCAGTAATGACCGTTTAAAATGTGCATAGAGTAATATATAAATGCTGGGAACTTCACAATTAAAGAGCTCTGAAGGACAAGAGACAAAAGATAGAGAAACGTTGAGCTTTTTAAGGCTGAAACTAAAATTCAGTCTAAAAAATTGAGGCAAATGAAATGTAAAATGTTAGTGTTAGAGATGTAAATAAATGTAAAAATATAAAAATGAAAATGAGCAAAAAGTTAATAAATGGAGTAGGTGTTACTTTGAAATAAGCAAACAGAAAAACAAACATGACCACACAGTCAGAAGAGGGATGCAGGAACACTTGCAAAAGCTTAGGTAAACAAAAAAAAAAATCACAGAAAGGTGTGTTACAAAAGAACATGAAAACATAAAATAGATTTGGTAGAGAGTGAGGGGCTTGAATAATCAGGTGCATTCCTGGCAGTATGAAGAGTATGAAGGTTTGATAGGATAGAAAGCAAGAAAATCAGCTCATATGACAAACAGAGCAATTTGGTCAGAGAGCCTTGTATGAATTATTGGCAAACATGGTTTCATGAAAGGCTTCTAAATCAGCTGGGCATTGAGGTATATTGCCATGGTAAAGAATTTATAAACAGATTTTGTTAAAGCAAGTCAGGTGTTTTTGCAACACATAAAACGGTTTTCCAAGCAACAAAGAGACATTTTTCCAAGAAAGTAATTTAGCCTATGTCACTAATGGAACCAATAAATAAAGACATAAATATAGAATCTAAAGATTTTTAATTCAATGCTGGTAGCAGGATAAACTTAGGACTCGGCAGCTGTCAGGTTGTGTTCAGTGTATATTTTGTCACTGAGTTAGAGCAAGATGAAATCGGTGAAATCAGGTATTTAGAAATGACTTATTCCAAGAAGGAGATTTTCAGAATAATTATAAATCTAGCAGGATAGAGAAAGCACAGGATAAAGGTAGTTAGATCGATCAGATTAGTATACAAAGCCATTTAGCAAAGTATACTTTAGATCTTTTTTCTGAACCAGGGAAAACCTGATCATGTTTCACTATAACAAAGTTTCGATTACTTAATATAACACCTTTAAAATTAGCATCTTAAAGCAATACAGTAGGTCTAAAAAGAGTTATAAGGACCACAAATTACAAAGCACATATAAGGTATAAGTATATATAAGAAAGACAAGCAGTTAGAAATGCCACTGTAATTAGAAAATTAAGACGATACAGACACTAAATAAAAGCCTTTTATACGTTTTGAAATTAAATTTAAATGCGCTCAGGGTAGGTGACTCAGATATCACTAGGGATACAAATTTAGAGCTCTGGGGTGCAGCTAAAGAAGGCCCCATCACCCACAGAATGTAGAATATCCTGAACACCAGAGTCAGATGAACAAAGGTTGTAAGGGGGAAAGTAGATAGATAAACCAGATAAGTACTGAATGAGGATGAGGATATTGAAGTTGACTTGAAACCTGATAGGAAGCCAGTGGAAGGACTTGAAGACAGGCGTAATGTGATTGCTTGCTAGCAACCCGGTCAGGATTCTGGCTGCCAAATTCTGAATGTATTGGAGATTGCTCAGTGAGGATTTAATTACCCCAGTGAACAGGATGTGCATTTATTTATTCTAGAAAAAAAACCCTCTTAATTTCTCTAGTTCCCTTTAAAAGAAAAGGAATCAGTGTGATATTCCACAATGCAGAGTGCTACATGGCTGGTATTTACATATGATATTTAACAAATTAATACAAGTAGTTTGTGAGGATTTAAGTATAGGCCTAGTTATTGCATGATGCAAAACTAAAGATGTACATAAGAAAAAGATAATTTTGGGAAAGTTGAAGAATACACTGATAACAAGAACACTTCCTAAAATTTTGGACATACTGCAGTTTGTTCAAAGTAGATTTAGATACCCCAGCGCGTAGAACATTACAGTAGTCAATTCGAGAGAACACAAATGTGTTGATCAGCTTTTCAGCCACAGTTAATTAAGGCATAGGGCGTAGTCTAGCGATATTTCTGAGGTGAAAAAAATAATGTTTGCCAATATGCTGCACATGTGGGTCAAATGTTAAACCAGAATCCGTTTATCACTACTCCCCTACTCCCCACCTCGCAACCTTCGCTCTACTAACTCTGGACTCCTTACTGTCCCCCAAGGCATACTTTTGACAAATTGACAGGAGATGTTATAGACTGCACCAGCGGCCATGTCACCCTCCAGCTCTCAACTGGCTACCCACTGAAGCTGAACAGGTTTGAGCCTGATCAGTATGGATGAGAGACCTACTGGAAAGCTATGGATGCTGCTGGGAGTGGTGTTAATGGGACAAGCGGGGGGTACCCACTCTGCAGTCTGTGTGGGTCCTAATGCCCCCGTATAATGGCAGGGACACTATAATGTAGTGGGCGCCGTCGTTCGGATGAGACGTTTAGCCGAGGTCCTGACTCTCAGTGGTCATTAAAGATCCCCAGGCATTTCTCGAGAAGAGTAAGGAGTTACCCCAGTGTCCGGGCCCAATTTCCCCCCTTGACCTTTACTGTGTCCACATGTATAATTTAATTGTTTTTGTCCTGCGATGGACTAGCACACCATTCAAGGTGT